CCGACAGTTTTCTGTTTAAAACCTTTTGCATTCAAGAGATGCCTCTTTTCCCTAGATGGTTCACTTAAGCTTCTTTCTCTACTTCAGCTTTTTAGTTAGCTACACTCCCTCACAGTCTGATGCCTGTTCAAATGTCTACTCAAGCTGAGACAGATCCAAAAAGTGCTTGTAGAGGGTGTTGGCCACAGTCCTGAAAGCCTTTCTGCTGGCGCTTCAGAGCACTGAAGTGTTTGCCTGCTCCCATCGTCTCCAGCTGAAAGAGAAGGGAACTGAGTTTACCCTTCAACCGTGAATGACTGCAGGGTAAGACACATCAATTTAAGGAGCAGTACTCAAGCTCCTGGCCTGAAACTTGTCAAAGGTCGTGGTTTCCACCAAAACTTGAGGATGCTGTGACCTAAATGAGAGGGTTTTCTAAGTCCAGCTTCAAAACTTATTAAATCCCTCTGACTATTGAACACCTCATCTTAAACATCCCATTTCATTTCTGAAAATTCTGAAACATGTTTTGCTTTAAAGCTTTGCTTTTAGCACAATTCCCATGTTTTACCACCCTTCAGTAATTCAGCTATTGAAAATAGACCTCTCAACAAGGGATTTTCAGGATTAGTCTTAAACTGATAACATAGCTCACACACTCAACAGAAGCACCAGGAAGAAGAAAAAAGCCAAACAAACCATAAAAGCAGTCCCATAAAGATTAAAATATTGAAAGAAGTGAAACGATGAAGTCTGTGACAAACCATAATTTTGGCACATGCCCTATTCAGTATGTAATTGTAACAATCACGAGGCTGGCATGGTTGCATACATCCATATTCATGAATAGTTTTCAGGGTTCATTTTTGTGTGCGTGTGTGTGTGATGAGAAAATAATTTTACTCCTAGCTTAAGGAGTATGTTATCTTTTTGAACATTTCTGTTCGAGTAATGCCCATAATCTTTCTTTCCTCCTACCTCAGGTAAAAAACCTGACCATGTGATCATGGTGTTTTGTATTTCAGTTGCAAAAGAAGACGGCTCCTTCTTTTTCGTCTCTCTAAGCCTTCTCAGATGTACACTATATATTGTAAGATGTCATTCTTCCAAGTTCAGACATCTGAAACAAACAAATCTGGAATGTACCATCATCTTCTTCTCAGGTGAATATGTAAAGCCAAAAGGTGTTAAGAGCAATTCTGTAAGACAGTGGAAATATTAAAAAAAAAAAAAAAACCTACACAGAAAAATATGATGTTACTGGGTGGACCTAAGATCTCATTTCTGAAATACTGCCCAATGGCTAGCTAGTCTCCCCTTTTTCTTCATCCAAAAAACCTTCATAAAACTCAATCCTGAGGTCAGGTGTAACAGCAGACGTGTCAGGGAGACCAAATCAAACCTGGGAAGCCATGGAGCATATGCCAGGTGTAGCAATGCACAGACTTAGAAGGCTTTTTAACAACACCACAGCCATTTGCAAAACAGTTATACTTGTACCACTCATCAGATCATAGGCAATTTATGTCTGGAGTTATTTTCAGCCATGAAAAGTGCTTGACTTCACCACACCATTGGGCAGTGACTACTTCTGCATCCTCTGGGGGAGGAGAGGGCAGAAGGCAAATCTCCAGAACTTAACTTTGAGAGCTACATTCAAACAACTGGAAAACGAGCACTGTGGCACTGGTGTGCTCATTTCTCCTTATCATGTCACCAGCTCAGGAGAACACCTGGGGGCAAGCAATGGAGAAATTATTTAAGAGAGATGCAGTTGGTGCTGAAGCACATTCTCAGGTAACACTGCTCGCTACTGAATCCCACAATATTTAGCCTCTGTTATTTGGAAAGCCTGGTGTCATAGTTGATTTCCTGATGCTTTATCAAAAGCCATTGGTGTCTTTCTTTCCAAGACCAGCAACAAACCTGTGCAAAATAAACACACTTCCATGACAGTGTGCTGTTACACATCTTCAGCATGGGTTGTGGAGTCACAACAAGAGGCGAACAAATAAACACCCACCCCCCCCCCACCTGATAAAGAAATTATTCCACTTGTGTCATTTTGGCGATGGCATGTGTCAGGAAATCAAAGGCAGATCCCATCCACCCTGGGGACTGGACTGGGATTGCTGCCCTGGGTAGGCTGCTCTGCAACTAGCAAACAGCCATGGCATGGGCTGAGGAGCCAGAGAGGCATAAGCCCAACCTTCAGCACACCTCACTGCCTTGCTTGCAACTCACGCTGAGGAGATCATGTTTGCATACTCAGGGCATGAATAAAGGCGAATTTTTCCAAACTATTTTAATGTAAATACAGGGGCGTCCACAGCTAACCAGCATGGCAGTTTGACTGGGATGGCTGCCAAGGAACAAATTTAATGCAGTGTATTTCATTTACTCCCAAACAATGGGTAAATGGCACTCTTTTGCTGTTTAAATGGCATACCCACCACTGTCTACGTGTCTGCCCACAGGTGTTATGCAGTACGAACACTTACCGTCTGTTAACATAAAATTGTTCACTTGTGTTTGCTTCCCTCTTCCAGCCTGGCTGCTAAGCCTATCAAAGGTCCCAAGCTAAACAAGTACAAACACCACTCGCAAAGTGTGTAGGCAGCAATTAAAGCACACCGAGGTAGGGTGCAGCGTTTTAATCACACTGGCTGATGGCCAAGGAGCTGCAGAAGTGAACCGTGCTTCCCCAGCCATGAAGAAGGAAGGAGGAGGAATTCCCTTCGTGCCTCTAACATGTTGCTATCTACACTACTCCTTCACTTCAGAGCTGCACCCTTGTCTGCACCTTTTTACCTGCTGGGACATTTACATTCTGGGACAAAACCCCAGTAGACTAATGATGATGGGCAGAAAAAAAAAATCTGTTAATTCTCTAAGGCTTTCTCTCTAGTACATGTATACATTACAATAAGGAAATAAATTCAGCTCATGTAGTTTTCCCTTTGGATGTAAATGTGGACTTTCAGCTTTCTGCTTGCTGTTTGAATGCTGTGAAATAACTAGAAGTGCATCCTGGATATTAGCATACAAACAGTATGTATAATTCAGTCTAAATGAAATTGTTTATAAACATCAAAACATTATTTATGGCTCTCTCTCATACACACACGTCACCATGGAAACAAGGTAATTGCTATACTATTAGGATGCAATTTCTCTGTGCAGTGAGGGAGAATGGCAATTTATCTGCATCTGGGTGGTTTCACGTTACTCTTTGTGGTCACAGATCTCCCCTCCAAAGCTTCTTTGGGATGTGAAATTAGTTTTGATTACTGAAGAAAAGATTAGATCAATATAAGAGTGAGACGATTTGAAACAGAAAAGCACATGTGAAAACACTGCAATTATTGCACAGGAGTGACATGAGCTATTCAGTGATGGGGATTCAAAGACAAACCGAGGAATTTCAAGCCCAGTTGAAGGTCACTGTAGGCCAGCATTTCCCATCTCGCCTTTGCCGATGGTCAGTGGTTGCTGCCATCTGCTTGCCAGCCTAAATGATTACTGATTACAGATTCAAAAGGTAAAAAAAAAAAAGGCATGAAGAGTTATCCTTGTTTATAACCTTTCTAGTAAGGTCAGGGATTAAATGGACCAGAGATTTTTTTTTTCCTCTTGAAACAAAACAGAGAATACACAGTACCAATACTTAAAGATAATGAGAGCTTTATTAGAAGAATATAGGAGAAGAGTTTCTAAAGGACAGATATGCCTGCATATAGAGATAGGCATCTACTGAGATTTTTTAAAAATATAAGTAAGAATGCGAGGTGTTAAGACCACTGCTTTCTATCTTGCACTTGAAATGGAGGCTGTGATGCAAAGAAACATATTTTTAGCCTTAATAATGTTAATGGCAAGATTGTCACACATTGGCAAAAACAGTTTCCTACTTGATCATCCCTGCATAAAAAGAGCACTTTAAGAGAGCTAACAGAGAACCGATGATAATTCATCACACCATCATATCATAATCAATTTCTCAGCTGAAATTATCGGTCTTCTCAACTAAAACATTCACGGAGGAGCTGACAGAATCTTTGTAATTTTGATGACAGATTCACACCAAGGTTAATTTTGCAATATTACTGCAGGCAAAACTCCCAGAGATGTTAAGTCAGACTTGCAAGTTTACTCCAAAAAGATTGCATGTAGAAAGTCCCATTAATGCATGAATTGAGTTTATTCCCCAGCTAGATTTCCTAGGAACTGACCTGCATTCTGTCTCATTAAAAAGTGCTCCTGAATTCAGAATGGAAGATTCCTTTGTGCAATCTGTCTAATAACAGTGAAACCAGAATGGCTTCTGTATTTCTGACAGAGGCTCTTTCTCAAAAGGAGAAAAAAAGAGACTTCTCTCTCCTTGCAGATGTAAATGCTGAAAAGTACTTTGGGAGCCTTTAGAATAAAAACCTCTGCTCAAGTAAACACAGGGTATAATTATCATCATCTGTCATCTCTGCAAATCCATACATTTTATATTCCACTTAAAACAGAAAAAAAAATCCTCGGTGGGATGTCTTCCAGCGAACCAATTTAGCTAATGAGAGTGAATATCAATGACTGCTGGCTAATCAGAATGGTATTAGCATAAATTTTACTTAATGAGGACATATTTGCCTGCTGCCAGGAGCAAAATGGTACTGAGCTAGAGTGTAAAATGCAACGGATGGGTAAGTCTCATCTGGAAGAAAAATAGCAGAGCAAACAAACAAAACTGTATCTGAGCTTACTGCTGCACTAGCACTTTTTATGCAACCTGGGATTTTAACCTCACATGAAGCTTTTCAAACTTTTTCATTATTACAGAATCTTATCCACCCTTTAACTGTGATGAATTAAACACCCTGGGGAACAGCTTGACAAGAGATTCAATTGAACTCCTTTAACCTCATGATAGTAGGTGGATCACTGAAGGAACTTTCTTTCTTTCTAAATTAAAGCACACAATACATGCACTCTGCTGCACAACAAAAGTATGTTTTCCCTTTGTGCATTGTATAAGTCTCGCTTCTGAAAAATGCTCAAATATTATGCTTAGCTTCAAAACCAGCAATGTTACATTGCCCTCTGTCTGCCTGTGAGCGATCTCAGGCAGAAAATTCCCTTCGGCCACTATTGTCTTGAAGGAGTTAAGTCCCAGCAGCATCCCAGTGCTGTTGTGCACACTGGGTTTCTTCCTCTTACACAGGCTCCATATTAGACAGTCTGAGAAGTCTTGACGAGCAGTAAGAAAGATTTTTGTCTATAGTAACATAAAGGGGTTAGAGTTCAATTCTCACAAAATATTTAATCTTGTGAAATGTTATTTGTAGTGTCATTCTTGTATATACCTGCTTTGAAATTCTTAACCTTAGATTCTTCTATGTAAAGGAATATAGGGCACAAGTGTTCTTACCTTTGATATACTATAGGATCTAACAATATTTAACTGGTGAAGTCATTTTTGTTTCCAAACCTGTGTCTCAAATATGCTTGGGAACGTGGAAACTCACAATGCCCTTATTCATGACATCAAAATCAGTTCCATGGTAACACATTGTGATGACAAAATACACAGATTGCAAGGTCACAAGTCACACTTAAGGACAGGCAGGGGAGAAATTGTTAGTTTAATGAATAACACTAGCCAATTCCAATCAGAATAAAAATAAAGAAAAAAATAAAGTGCCTAAAGTAAACACCCTTAAATGCACTTCAGAACCATTTCTTCTTAAGTAGTTCTTCAAAGGCAGAAGGCTTCCACAGCTTTCGCCTCTGTGGCAAATAGAAGCCTACATTAAAAATTAAAACAAGACGCTGTACGCTAATGATGGCAATAGCAATGCTTTCCCTCTATATGCACAGAGAGAAACAGCAACTGCGGGGAAGAAGCTTTAGAAGAAAAGAAATCATGTTCATTTCAGGCTAAATCCCCCAAAGGAACTCATGATTCTTATGCTTAGCAAAGGCTGGGTTTTCACATACGGTGACGAGCCCACTTTTGAAGCTTACATTTCTTTGGTCTATAGCCAGGTATTTGAAATATTCCTGTCACAGAAGTCAGCAACGGCAACCGTGGTACAGATATTTCTAATGATTTTGAAGTGATTCCTCCATTCCTTATTTACTGAACAGTGTCACAAGAAAGCAATTCAGATTTACAAGATTCTAATGTACACAGGCCTCCTCTGAAATTTAAGCTGCAAGAACCCTAATATACGTAGGTATGAAAAATCACTGCAACTAGATCATCACCTGCAGAAGGAGAGGAAGGAAAAACACAAATGAGAAAATTGCCAGCCCAGTACCCAAACAAATGCCAGACACCTCTAAGACTTTGACATCGCCATCAGATTTGCTTGTGACTTCTCAGGGTAACGACAGGAAAAATTTGGAGTACTTCAAGGAAATGAACCAGAAAACTCCGTGGTTAAGGGAATGTTCTTGCATATGGCATGTCTTAGGCATTAGGTGGTTGGTCCATGAAGTTACTGTTCCCTTCTGACTCTTACATCAAAACCTTCTTTGAAATTGTAACTAAAATATATCACATACAATTTGTTTGACGTGACTGTGTCATAAAATTGGCACTGTATGTTCTCTGCTTACCACAGTCTGAAAGGTCAATGGAGAGGATAGATTTCATTTAACCTCTTGTTTAAATAGCATCTTATTTTTATTAGAAAAGATGTTTTTTTTTTTTTTACCATATCATGGCAAACAGCCCTATCCCTATACATCCTTATATAAACAGCGACTGAATAGCCAAAAAACAAATTGCAGCTTAAACTCTACAAGGAGAACCTCAGATTACTTTTCTTTCCATATATCAGAGCAAAAGATTTGATAGATTAGAGCATTTCAAAATAGATCGGGGAGCAGCATCTTTGATTCTATTTAAATGACATAAAATCACTGGATTATTAAAAAAATTGAAGCATGCTCTGGTAAGACATTAATGTTTTTAACGTATTCTTGCACTCTGGCAGCAAAAGGGATGTTGAAGTTCCCTCTATATTAAATAAAACGGCTTGACAGTTGCATACACACTTAACCACAGGTGGGGGGTTCTTCTTAATCTGGTGTCTATCATGTGATGCTTCATAAGCAAAGAATAGCAGGCCATGCTGCTTTATTCAATTGGGTTATGCTTTTACTCTTTCTTCCTGCATGTGAAAAGCATAACAGAGAACTAGCAGAGCAGAAGTAAGATGTGTTTTGTTAGTTGTCTGAAGCCCTGGGGCCCGGAACCGGATAAGTCCTGATATTATACCCTGGATTGAGCAGAATAAATCCATTTTGTTTCCTCCAAACATTTAGCCATTAAAAAAATATGAGATAGAAAAACAGACTTTGCTGTCTGCATGCCTTCTTGTAAAGCTTGTATTGTGGAAATGTCAGAATCATTAGGTCATTGGCATATATTTTGCAAGCTAATGCTTCTACTTTAATTCTCACTGGGGACTGCATGTCTGCTTTTCAAATAAAACCCAGACTGAAGAAGGTGAAGAGAGCTTAAAATGATGCTGGTAACACTCTGTGATGGCTGATAATACTTCTAGGTATGAATAATTAGGAAATATCAGCCAAGGTTGATACAACCACAGCTATTAAAGCACCAAGCCCGACAAAAGTAATTGCTAAATGTTAAAATTGCCTTGTAAATATCTGTGGCTCCTTTTAAATGCACACAGTGACATGTGACTGAATAAAGTTTTAAAATAAACACAACACAAGAAATAAATTTAATATGTGAAATTGTGCACATAATAGAAGAAGCATGGAGGGTCAGACTTCAGAGAAGACAAGTGGATGAATTCCCTCCTGAATCACCAAAGACAGATGCAGAAGAAGTGGTTACGGAAACGCAAGCCCCATTCCAAAAATAGCTACTCGCCTGTCAAAACATATATCGCTGATAAAATCTGGCATGAGTTGAAGAAAGAGGTTAATACTAGTAGACATAATAAAGCAAGTAGAAACACTCTCAACTCACAACTGGATAAATAAGTCTTGAACTTGCAGCGGTTACTCTTCTGCCTGAATGCATACTCCCCCTTTACGACACACGAACTTGCTTTCTTCTGTGATAGAGCACAGAAGCGCCTCTAACCCCGAGAAAAGACAGATTCCTCCACTTATAGTCCTGCCCTTGCAGAAGCCAACATGGCTCCCGCAGTGTTGGCACCTCTAGACTTTCTACCTTCAGTTTGGGGCTCTAATGAACTCAAAATAGCCATTCAAAACCCAGCCAAAACCACCGAAAGCTACCTTGTTTTTATAGCATGGCCAGTTTAAACCGTACGAAACCACAAGTTTAGTGTGATTTTTGATACCAGCTTATAAATCAACCCAGGTTTATCTAAAAATTAATTTAGAGTTAGCAGGCAAGTTAGTGGACTTGAACAAACTTTTGGACAAATAGTTTGTCAAAAGACAAAACAGTTTTTAATCTGAGTTTTAAGCAAATCCTTAAACTAAACAAATCTCATGCAAGTTTCTGTTTTCATTGTGGACATCTTGCACAGCCCTAACTAGTTGCAGATTTCTGGGTCCATTTTTATGTTTCTGATCCATATTTTGTGGTTGCATGCTCCATAACAAACCTACAGGATATATCCTGACTGACTTTCACAGGAACTTCATGTGCTGTGACACACTGGCTTAAAGTTACATTGCTCCAAAACATAGGAAAATCAGTGGGAACACTGAAAGATGCTATTTCACCTGGCTATCCCTTTCAAGCTATACGTTTAACTTGTGAGCACTTTAATAAATCAAAACTTTCCTGCAAGCTTCTTTAAAGTGTAAATGCAAGACCTAAACAGATCATGGGCAATGAACAAGCATAACTGTAGCTATCAGATCAGAGATCTGTAAAAACTAAATCATGCTCTGGTGTAGAAAACTTATCAAGTTTTGCTGATCTCTTTCTTCAAACTGTTCTCTTGTGTATTATTGTAATTAAAATCAGTCAGGCTGTACAACCTATGCTATGTTTTACAAACAAATAAAACTTGTTCTGTGTTGTTCCTCTGAAACTGTGACAGTTGCATTATCCTATGCAAAAAAATTAAGAGAAGTTTACAGCCCCTCAGCTTTTACCTGTAAGCGCCTTCTTCAACTGCAAAGGAGGGTGAGATGATCAGTAGAAAATCAGAAACGCAAAATTAAGTTTTACTCAATTCTGTTGCTGATTCACTCTTGTCCTTCAACTAATATTTGAGCAGTTCAAAGCCAATTGGGAAAAGGTGGATTTCCAAAAGCTTGAATGCTGGAATAAAATAATTTTCAAAATGTATGTCCCCAAATCATTAAAAGTAGAATCTATGCAATGTAAACAGGCCTGTTAAAGCAGCAGTCTCTCACAAAGAGTGGAATGTCATCTTAAGTATAAGCACCTTCAGTGAATGTCTGTGGACTGTTCAGAGAGAAAGATGGTTCACAGAAAAAAATGGAGAAATCTGAATTAACACAGTTTCTTTGAAATATTGTGGAAGGCAAGTAAGTTTGAAAACATTTTCAAAAAACAAATACATATTTTCACAATCCACTTTGCATATAAGATTTGTCTGATTATTAGCTCAGTGGTACATCTATTTATTCTTAACTGCTATACGAAAAGGGTTTGCCAAGTATTGGCCTCATGCATTTTCCTTTCTAGATCAAGCACAAAAGAAACTGGAACACGATTAAAATGAAGACCATATTATTGTTCCTGTGAGAATGATGGCAAAGTTTCTGTGGGTTAGAGCAGAAGACACATTAGTGGATCACAGAGCTAAAACTGAAGAGGAAGACTGATCTAAGTACTAAAAAAGAAGTCCACAGAAGGTGGAAGCAGAGGCAAACAGCCCAGGAGGAACAGAGACACTGCTTGCCCTGGCAGGGATGGAGCTGGGAAAGCCAAAACTCAGCTGGAGCTGGCACTAGCAAGGGATGTGAAATACAAGTAGGATTTTTTAAAGTATGTTGCCAGCAAACAGCATGGGCCTATTGCTCATTGGATCTAATGACAAAGAACATCTAAAAGGCTGTTATACAATGCCTTTTTGCCTCAGTTTTTGCTGGTAGGCTTTGCCCCCCCAGACTTCCCAGGTCCATAAGCCTCACAGCTGAGTCCATGGGTATGAAGCACATGAAGTACTCACAGGAGAGGAAGTTGAAGTTAGGGATCACTTAACCCGCTTGGATATACAGACCTCCATGGGCCAGAGCAGATGTGTCTGAGGGTGCTGAAGGAGCAGCCCAACATCATTGTGAGGCTACTCTTTGTCCTCTTCAAAAGGCCATGGCAGTCAGTGGAGATTCGCGATCACTGGAAGGTACATACTGCACCACTCTGCAAGAAGGAGGCAAGGAGGATGGTCCATGTCAATTAGCTTACTTTGGTCCCTAGGAAAGTTACGGAGCAAGTCCTCATAGAAGCCATTTCCAGGCATGTGAAGAGCAATAAAGTGACCTGGAGCAGCCAGCATAGATTTACCAAAGGGAAAAGACGATGAGCAACCTTCTCTGGCAAGGTGACCAGCCCTGTGGAGAAAAGAAGTGGGAAGGCAATGGATGCTGTATACCTTGGGTTTATCAAGGCTTTGGCATAATCAAACCCCAGAACAACAGCAGAACCCCTCCCGATTGCGCATGCCCATACTGTGAAAAGGAAAACAGGAAAATGTTGAGGGACTTTTCATATACATCTAGAACCAATACCCAAAATACTATGTTTTTACAGGTTAGATTTTGGTGCGTAAGTTATTCTCACACTCAGAGTGTGTATAGGCTACTAGTTAGCTGATGTTGCAGAAATGGTTTTGAAAAGAAAACCTGTTTATAGGAAAAAGATTGATAAAAGCTTTCTTTGATGACACTAGAATAAAATCAAAACTTTACGTGTGGATACGAACTCCATGTGAAAGTATAACAAAATCTTGAAGAACTAACATTTATAATTGTTTTCTTATAAAACATTTTCAGGAAAGGGAGTACTTACTCAAGGGGTGAAAATGCCAGATATTAGGTTGTTAAGAACGTGAATACAGTAGGAGGACAGAAGCCATTAAAAGGTAGAAATTATATTCTCAGATGTTTTTAATGGCATAGAAGAGCTATCAATGGAATACAAAATACCGTTAACAGAACTCAATTTCCCTGTTATACATGAGCCAACACATACTTAGAAGTGTACTTGGATGAAAACTTAAGGAAGAAATTAGACTTCTTGCTCTGAGTCTAGCAGAGGGCACTGATGTACCTTTTAGAAGGGGTCTTTACCAGCTCCAGGAAAGAAAATGGAAAATCTTTACCTACACCTGCCTCCCATGGGGCTGAGCCAAAGTCTTTCTACAGAACTCCACATATCTACCAGGAAAGGCATTTCTTAATAAACGTATTTTGCCTCCCTCCCTATCATCTCACCCTAAGTATTTCATATGGCTTGTGGAAAATTTCTTTAGAAGAGGAAATTGTGTCTGTGAAATTTTAACTTATGCTCTCTGAACACAGTGCTTTACCATAATTTTTAGGCTATGCTCTGCACCCATATAATTCACAAAAGGATATCCAAGCATGGGAAGGTACTGAAGTTTACTGATGGTATTTTGCTGCAAGTATAAATAATGGAACTCTATCATGGGCATGGACTCAGTAGTGTAAGGCTGGAACTTAACAGACAGCGAAGTGAATGTAGGGGTGAATAATTAACTTACGTAGGAAAACTAGAACTGATCTAGGGGCCCTGCTAGGCCTTGGGGGGTTATAGATGGTTATCAGTATTTCTCTACTTAAAAAAGAGGAAAGTACACAGGAATGATAAATTTGGCTGAAAAAAATCTATCCAATCTGGCTGTTGTAACTGTTGATCTAAAAACTTTATTCTGAAAAAAGGGACAGTGTATGAAAGACATTAATCACAACAATTAGCCTAAGCACAATTTATAAAGATGCCCTTCCTTTGATTTTCTGCTATACAAAATTGGCAACTGAGTTTGCTGAGACCTCACAACAACATTTTTGTGACAATGGGAATCACCAGACACTAGTTAATGCTGCAGGAAACCTGACTTAAGCTGGATGATAGTGAATATGGACAGGAAAATTAAAAGTCTCTGGTGCTTATGCATGCACAAAAACCCCAGCTCCTCATTTGCAGAAGCAGACCGCAAACCGCTTATGACAATGGTGGAGCAAAGTGTTTCACAAAAACAACTTTCCTTGAAAAGGTTATTCTATCGATTGCAGATGGATGATTTATAGCTAGAATATAAACCTGAGAAAGACCTTGTGTCAGCAGACATTCTGTCTGAGCTTTTAATGAAAGAGAGGTAGTACAAACAGCAGAATCTGTTGTTGTTCATGTAAATAGGCTCGAGAAAATGTCCTCGGTCTCAGGCAGGATGCGGCCTGTCACTGCAAGAGACCATAACGCAAAATTGAGACTTTGTGAAAGGTAATACCAGTGATTAAGCTTGGCTGGCCTTCCAAACGTAAACCTACTGCCTTTTACAGCTTGGAATGAGAAATTCATGTTGCAAATGGTACTTTACTCAAAGTGTCTAGATCAGTAGCATGTAAAGTTTGAACGTAGGGAATAACAAAAATAAGTACATGAAAGGTGCGTGGACACCGGAAGATGAGAAGACTAGTTGAAAATACATGGTATTTGCCTCAAAATTAATGCGGATATAGGGACATTCCCCCCCCCCCCCCCAACAAACAAACAAATGCCAAAAATAGGAATATTCAGAAACTGGGGGAGAGGGAAGAAACCCTGATTGTAATTCTAAACAAAGTTAGACCTATAGGCCACATTTGGTGTGTATAGGTTTATGCACATAAATTAATAACCACTAATGGTTTTGTTGTGGATTATTATTCTTAATTTCCAAAAACATCACCATTAGAGTATGCAACCATGAAATATGTGATATCATTTACAAAATCTCTGCATAGAACTTACCTGCCTTGAAAAACCAATGATGCTATGAATGCATTTTTGCAAATTTTAATAAACATATTCAAACAAATTGAAGCAGCAGACACACTGTGACAGTGTGCCACATGACCTAAAGTCTTTATAGTCACAAAACAGCACACACAAGGTACCTGACAGAAAATGGTGCTGTAAAAATCACTTGTTTCCTGTAAAACAAGTTTATTAATTTCTCTGAGAAGAGTACTAAGAATGTCCACACAAATAGCGCCCATCTAGAAACTCTGCAAAAGAAAGAGGAAAGACAAACATCCTGAGGCTCCAAGATTCGAACTAGAGCAGGCAAGAAAAGAGAGAGGATGTCAGCCAACATTGATTTAAGGGGCTGAACAAAATACTTTGGAGAGCTACAAGCAAATGAGCACCAGCTCAGAGCCTGATGGAAAGCTATGCAGATTTAGCAGCATTGTCACTTAATTTTTCCCCCCTCCTTCATGGAGAAATGAAAGTCGTTTGTGAGATCCAGCACCTTATTTTGCCTAGTTAGCTTAGAGCTATTAAGGTAAGCAGCCTGCCTTTGATGAGGGATCTATCTCCCTTTTTCCCAAACTCTTCCTTTGAACAGTCATTAGCTTACATTGTAAATGCTAGGTGTTTTGTTGGCTACCACTTGTAGACATAAGATGAGCTTCACAGAACTTACAGTTAAGGTAGACAACTATGATGATGGCAGATGGCAAAAGGGAAGAAACTGAAGCTGAATATTTAGAAAGAGACAAGCAGAGGGAAAGAGACATACTAATTCATTTATTATTTTGTTACCAAAAAATTCTCTTTCCATCTCCTCTAGCATCTTCTTTCAAGACAGTTTAAAGAAACAGGACATCTTCTGGGCAAAGTGAATTTTGAAAAAGAGAAGGTAAAAGACAGGCAAGATTCATAGTGCATATATTAACTTGCTCCAAGGAAAATTGCCTTGAAACTATGGGGTGCAGACATCCTGCAATGTGTGCTCCTGTTTAGCTGCATTACTTATCCAGAATTGGTGAACAGTGGTAGTTCAAAATCACTGAAGTAAATTTCTAGATTTGCAAGCAGGGACCTGTGGTTTCATTATAGCCATTTGGCCTGTTTTGACCTCTCCCTAGACCTCTGCCTCATTTTGTGCATTCAGACCTCAATGAAGGAAAATAATTTATAAATGTACTTAACTTTAAAGAGGTGATTTAAGTCTACAGACATCAATAGCAGGTAAGCACATAATTACTTATGTCTAAAATAAAGATGAGATTTGTATACTTTAAGTGCATTCCTGAAAGGATTTCTTATGGGAGATTTTTAGATCTTGTTTTGCTCACCTGAAAAGAGTCTAGCACAAAGATTTCTGTAACGAAAAAAAAGCAGAATAGTTTCCTTGGCAGGGATGATTAAGAAAGAAACAACAGTTTGATTCACTTGGAACACAGGGTATTTTATTGTATTTTACTTTCTTCAAGCATTTTTAGTATCTATGAGAAGAGGTTTTCAAGTCAATGTAATCTACTTTTTTTTTTTCAAATATAATGTGTGTGCCTCCACTTTTGGTTCAGCCACAGTAAGAGAGCTTCCTTCCCTTTTTGTAAGGCCTGTTTGATGCTGTTTCTTGATCTTGAGTTAGTTGTTGACTCATATCAAATGCAAATCAAGCCCTTTTACAGTATGAATCATAGCTGCCCTTGGTTAAGGGGGTAAGAAGAGATGAGAAGGGAAACATTACATTTCTGGACAATGCTGATGACTGAGGGCTGGTGTGACTCATACATAAGAGGGCCGATACGCACTTTCAAGTCAACAATTTAGGAGATTAAGAAGCAAACTTCAAACGGGGTTTTCAAAGGGAGAAGAAAACAGGAACTGGAATAAGCAACAAAGTAATGCACACAGCCACATCCTGAAGTCCTCACTGATGCAAGATTCCCATTTACACTAACTCTATGGTTTGCAAACACTAACCTTAGAGTTCATGGTTTAAGACTAATCATTAGTTAGCTGGGAGTTTCAAATAGCTGCGAGTCCACTCAGTAGAGTTTTAAAGTAATTAATTTTTGGTCAGATTTTGTTACAAGCAGAAATCCACAGAGCTGGATGTCATTTTCACCAAAAAAAAAAAAAAAAAAAAAAGAAAGTTTCTTTCTCATATACATGGCATTATTAGAAACACTGTGGACATATCTGTGGTACAAAGAAGAGAATATGGAGGGGGACCTTTCCATTTGCTGAAAATTAGATGTGAAGGACAACTCACAAAGAAGGAGCAAACAAATTATTTTTGTTCCCAACCTAGTTTTCCTGTATATGGGAAATGATTGTGGAATTAGAAAAATGGCCACACATGCAGCAAAACACCTCTCTGCTGATGAGAGAGACGGAAACATTATAAAATCAGGAAGCTAGAAGTGCACCCACTTTTGCTATTTATCATAGAGATAACTATTTCTTCACAAACACAGGGCATAATTTTTCCTCAGTTCACTAAACACTGAAAGATATTTTTTGCTATTCCTTTAAAGACTGTTTTAGGGAGGGTGTTGTTTTAATCAAAGCTTGCTCCATGCATTACACTCCAACCTACCACATACGTTACTGCACATGAGCTCCTTTTGTGTTTGGTTACACCAGATTAAATTGCAGAGCGTATGCTACTCACTTCAGAAGACAAGGAACCAACATGTCTTTTGTGTATGAGCAAGATTCTGTCTTAATCCCATAATAATTTTCTAATTCCTTTCATATTCTTGTCAGTGGTGCTTAAGACAAAAACTTGGCAAAAGGGCTTTGAAACAAAGTCAAGGTATTGCTCAACTAGTTAAAAAGAGCAAGGAAGAAGAGATTCACTTATTTTTAGAGCTGCAACAGAGCAAATACTTCTATTTTAAAGAGTTCAGATGACTTGGTTAAGAACATTTTGGATTAAAGAACAAACACAATTAGGATTACTTGGCAATTACACTGTGGTAATCAGCCAACAATCCTGCACAGAGATATCCTACTTCTATCACTTTTACCCAAAGGAGGGCATTGTACTGAATACTGATGATCCAACCAGTGCCTGCTATCAACCCTTCTCCAAAATCTCTGGCTGAAACTTCACCCTCCTTGTCTTCGTCAGGCTTTCCAGAAGGTGGGGATCCACAGAGGGTCTTGAGGTTGCACCATCTCTGGGCTTCACCTGCCATCCTTCCCACTCCTCTAGACAGCACCAACCAACTCTACTAAGCCACATGTTCTGATATGACAGATTAAATACCAAGAATGAGGAAATCAAACAGCACATGAAATCCACCAGGCAAGTTTGCTGGATAAATATTTCCAATTAACTCTGCAGCTGGGGCCAAGTTCACTCTGAAGCTGGCTCTGCAACCAGAAACCTTGCAGTTGGCCAGACGGGTTTCATGTGGTTGTGCTGTGCTGCATGCAGTCTGGCGGTGGAGAAGCTAGTCTTGGGGAAAGGACATGGTGGGAGGCTCATAAAACTGGGGGTAGTGTGTGCTTCAGGGCTGGCACTCATCTTTTTTTGGTTGCTGTTTTAGCAGGCAAGGCAATGGGATTCAGGTGCCATGCTCCCCTGGGCACCTCTGGAAATGCAGGTGGTACCCAGGGATCATAACACAGATATGCCCCTGTTGCTTCCTAGTCTGAGCAGACCTTCTGCCTCAGCCCAGTGTTTCTAGAACAGTTTCATATTCACTGAGCATGGACAACACAGGAGCTAAACCATCTGCCTGACTTACAATGTTAATAAGCTTAAAATCTTCTGTCTGTCAGAACCACTCTCAAAGACAAGTCAAGCACTCACAACGCATTGTTCCTTTAAACCAACGTCAGATTTCTGTGTTGCCAGACCTTCAGTAAGTGCAGCTTTCAGGTTTTGGCTAGCACTGAAGCAATTTCTGTAAAATATACCACAGACAGATAGCTTCACATTTGAAAATATTAGCATGAATAACAATATTTTTGTTTGATATGCACTCAACCAGTTATTCATTGGTTAAAAGAGTAAAGCCTCTAAGAAATATTTGAGAGAATATGCCCACAGAAGGGACCAGTTTGCATTTGTGGTGTTTATTCTTGTCTGCTTGAAAAGAAAATAGAAAATTGGGTTGACTAGGTTTTCCATTCTAATGCAGCTTTCTAGCTATCATGATTTCAAGCTGCTGATTACACACCGGTGGTGTGATAGTCAAGTGATGAAAATTTGAGGCTTGTGATACAGAATACTTAGTTTTGCACAGATAGCAACAGTTTCCAATGAGCAGTGCTATGCCAGATTTACAATGAGATTTACAAAAAAGAACCATAAAGTTAGGACCCCAGATTCCCTCTTCCAAAGAAACAGGCACAAAGAACAGCACTCCCGCTACCCAGTATCTCCTGTGCTCCTCAGATCAACTTCTGATGGAACTGACATGTACTCATTGCTCATTTAAGTAAACTCACGTATCGGGATTTCTGCTATAAATTCCTCTTTTAAAACACTGATTCAAATATTTTAATATGTACATGGAAATGCTGAAGGAATAAACTCCGCAGCAAAGCTTACCTTAAAAAAAAAAAAAAGTATTTTGGCATATTTTACATAGCAGTGTTTTCTATTTCTTCAACCAAAATAAGATTAAAAAACTCCCCTGCACTAGCACACAGTCCTTCCTTCCTACCTACCTTCCTTTCTTGTACTTTCTTCTACCTTCCTCTGCCCTTCCTCCCCCTTCTTTATATCACAGTTGGGTAGATATTTATTAAGGGCATCTAATGGCTCTTTACTCTTCCCTTCCTCCACCTGCAACAGCTGCTGCAATGCATTGCATTGGTTCTTGGATCTGGCTCTTGGTTTGCTGTGTGGCCAGATCCAGGCTTTAGATGCAATTGGGCGTATGACATCTGCAAGCCCTGACAAGCAGCCACTGCCCTGCCCATGTGGGTTGGACATATCCACAACTCATGGGCTCACTACAGGATCCTGGTTACTCCATGTTCACTATTTGTGACCCACGCCTTCAGATGCAAACTCATGAATGTTAAACAGGGCTGCTTGCAGCCATATTCAGGCAGCCATATGCAACTGATTAACAGAGAAGAACATTTAATATCAACATGCCCTGCTCAGGTCATTCCAGCCTAGATTTCAGATTCATTCACAGTGAGCTCCAGTACAGTCCTGTATTTGTCCACCTGAGATGCCATCACTGTTACTTGAGACAGGGATCCCACTGCCTCAGGCCAAGGGCACATACACAGAAACAGCAGCAAGAAGCAGCAGTGCTCCAAAAAGATGGCAGCCTGAACATTAGGAGGAGAGGTGGGAAGACAAACAGACAACACAGACAGAATAATGCTCTGAAAGGCTGCAGTAGCTTAGGAGCAGAAGTCTCACTTTCAGCAGTGCTTCTGAAAACTGCATCCAAATTGACTTCTCCAAGATCACATAGGAAGTCAGCAGAGAAGCTGATAAAGAGTCCAGTACCCACAGGACCCCAAAGCTCCTGCAGAAAGGACTGGAGACAGACTTCAGACAGTATAGATAACCAAACTGAGATTAGATTCAAGTCAGGAAAAAAGTTAAATAGTCCAGCAGTGCTGCTGAAAGCAAGCAATATGGCACTGGCGCAAATGCTAGCCTCAGCATCCAAACCACTGAAAAGAAAACCATGGCAGCAAGGCTTGCAGAAGAAAGGGCTCAAAACCTCACAAACAGCTATGAGGGAGGGGGAAAAGGATCTGCAAAGTCTGCAATCATCCATACAAAACTGCATCAAGATGTATGGGTAGTGAGGTCCTCATGGTGTGATGAACAGTATGCACCCCTGGCTCATGACTTAGCGCAGGCTTAACATGAGAGAACTGAAACTGGAAAAGAAAATGAATGTAACCAGAAGAAATTGGAAAATGGACGAAGGGCTAAGGGGGAGGGAACCAACCCAAGTCCGTCATTTCCCTCATGCAAGCAATAGTATGTCCCAAATTTAAGCAGCAACTTTGAATTCTGGTTTGAGTTTGGCTTTTCTGTTTATGGGGGCATTTTTATTTTTTTTTTTTTTAGTATTTTTTATTCTAATACTTTGCCAGCAATAGCACACCATTGGCTGCAAGAGATGGCTGTCCAGGTAAGTAATGAGGTGGTAAAACAAGAATTCCTAATGTCTCAGACACCTACCCTGCCAAAGGGGAGGCCTGGCTCTAAAGTGCTGAAGAACAAACCAATGTGGAGGCAAATCAGTTCGAGCCTTCATCAGTCAGTGGGTTAAGCACAGTCCAGTGAAGCTATAAAGACTTTTCTAGACACCCCCAAAAGATCACACAGCAGAAAGTTTCATGCTGTGCTTGGAGAAGGAACCCAGTGCTGCTGACAAGATCCAATTTGCTGCCCAGGTACACCACACACCTGCAACTGTGCAGTCCCACATTGTCCCTCCATGACAAAGGGGACCCTGCCCGCCTGAGGAGACACAGTGGCTTGATACACTGTCAGGTATGACTGGAAAGGCTCTCTGCAGGGAAGCACACCAAAGTTTTGTGTTGCAGTCATGGCTGCTCCCAAGATAAGTCACTAAGAGCTCTGTAGATGCTACCATGCGCGGCACTGTATGAGAAGAGGACGTTTGAAACTCCATGCATACACTGCAGAAATTTGCTTTATCTTTAACCTGCATCATCTCAATGAAGCCATGTAGCTATATTCATGTTCTGGGCAGTGTTTATTACAAAGGCTTTTTGCATATGTCTCTGTAGCAGCCCCTTTTACCTCCACAGATGTAAAGGTTAGGTCTTCTTCTCTCCTGGTAACAGTCTGGGCTTATTTATCCTCCTGGAAAGAAGTCTAAGGGAAACAAATATCCTTCAGCTCTCAAAATCAAGCTTATGAGAGGTTTAGGATAAACAAGCTTTGTGAAAACTCTCTATATAGATGAGCATTTCACAAAGAAAAGTCCTTAGCTGTACCATGGGCTCCATGCAATAGTAGGCATCACTGCTTTCCACATTAAACAAATCTGTCCTTGAGGTTTCGGAGGGGAAGAAGGCTGGGGCCTGAGTTGTGGGGTTTTAGCACCTAGGTGACTCTAGGTGACTTCCCACTGCAAACTGAGGCTCATACTGGTTGTTACACCTTACACTACCATGACTTTGGTAGTATCAGTCACACACAATTCCAGAGTTCAAAAATTCTAGTGATGAAAGAGACTACACAAGTGATGTCATACTGATGCATTAACCAGAGAAGCATGACACTGAGATGGGCCTGCCCAGACTCTTAGCTTAAGCACCCTAAAAATACTTGTAAGACTTTTAAACTGAAATGTTATGCTCATTGCCTCCACGACCTTGCCCTGCAAAAAGTCTTCAAAGTGAGACAGAACAGAATAAATAGATTAAAAGCAGTTATTTCCCCATCTGAACCCTGTGTTGTTGCAGGGTGCATCTTTTGGGGTTTGCTTGCTTTTACCATCACAATTCTGTTTACAGTGAGGTAGAACCTATCTGCCTTGCAACAGTCTCAGCACATCTTGAAGTCCCTCAGCATGCATCTTCCCCTTCTCAGAAGCCACACACTCCCTACTGCTTTACAAGTCCCCTTTCTGGTGCTGCTTTTTTTACCCCTTGGCCGGCACTTTGGACTTTGTAGAACACAGGCTGCTGTCCTGAGAATTCTATGGGAAGGATAAAAAAAGAAGGAAACCTGCTATATTGTTGTAAAAGATGATTCACAACACTTGCAGGTAACAAAGTACAGAATAATCATTGACCAACTAGCAACTTTAAACAAAATAAAGAAAAAGCACCATTTAGTCACTTTCCTAAGGGAATAAGTGCAAAAAATTTGCAAAGCAGGGTGCTGCATGACAAGGTTGACTCAAGAGCTGAATTTTGTAAGAGAAAGCTCCCCTTGCCTAGTGACATGAAGGGCATGGTGAATTTAGCAAACATCTACATGTGTTGGTAATATTGGGAAAAGCAAGTGGACAGCAGAAGGTATGAACATGGAGATTTCCCTGAGCTGACCTTAGCCAGAGCTTTCAGAAAATGGGGTGAAGAAATGTGGACCTCCTCTGGTGATGGTGGCAGTCTCTCCAATACAGCCTTGCACTAAAGAATAGTCCCAACTTGCACCAGCAGTTTCTCCTCTCCATATAAATGTTCACACAGTCATAGCATTAGCTCCACTAAGCTACACTGAAACACTCAGAACTAATGTTCTTCTCTAAGTTGTCCTGTTAAAAAGATCCACAACTACTGATTTTATTCATTAAGTTTCCAACTACGGTACAGTCTGTTATTCTTGCTGCCTCTTGTTCAGTCACCTACATGATGGCAATGTTCAATGGGAAACGTTCTTTTCAATAATGGTAGGTATGTTCCCTTGAAAACTCCAGTTCTGCAATTTGCTTTTGCTTCATGCATGCCAGCTCTCAGGAAGAGAGGTTGGGGGATAACCTTGCTGTGAGAAAGACAGGTTGCTTTTTCTAAGAGATGTTTAGAGCCTAGGGAAAGTGAGTTGAAGAAGCACAAAATCAGCAGGGAAAATAATTCAAAATAAGGGAGCATTTAAAATCCTTTCTTTGGCTAACACTGGCAGTAAACATCTCACTTGAAATACTGCAAGGCAATTCAGCTTGCCTGCATGGGAGAGCAATGGCAGAGCAGGAAACTAAATCCAGTAATTAACAGTGAGATTTTAGCTCTGACAACATAAACATAGCACAGCACAAATAACTTTCTAATATTTTGCATTTCTCCATAAGAATCGGGGCAGAGTTTAAAATAATGCAGTGGAGTTGGGTGAAAATCATTCAGTGGCAGCTCCTAGCAAGGATCCTCTGAATCTCTTTTTGGAACTCTGTGGACACACGCGTCTACATGAGTAGGTCATGTTCTGCAAAATTAGTGCCTGATGTCCTGGCTGAAAGAATTCAGAATTACTGCTTACGCAAAGAGTGATCTGAGGTAGATACAATAGAAGTACAATGAAAAGGATACAGGACTTGCCTGATCATTCAACCGTAAGGGTGTGCTGAAAGATTTCTTTCTGAGCCTTCCCCGGCGCAACCCCACAGTGCAAGCTACTGCACTGGGTCTACAGAAGCCTGATTACTGTGCACACCGTGCACCACCTCGGCAATGAAGTCATTCAGTAGTCTGACTAAAATAACATCTTCTAACTCCCTTTTTGTTGTAATTTACAGTCTCTCTCCTTTGGCTGAACCTGCCAGCCATCCTGGAGGTGAACAAAGAGAATGTGCTAAAGTTGCCAATTCTGGGGCCTGGTGTGAGAGAAAGCTTTTATTCCAGAGGTTGTATTTACTCTGGAGACAGTTAATCAAAGCTCTGCAGAGCATTGTAATTCTTCTGTTCCTTTCGTACGGGTATGAACTCTCGGCGACTGATCCCTGCGACTCTCAAATCCCCACAGTAAGCTCACTCCAATGTATCTTACAGTAGGTTTGCTTAAGAAAGATACAAGCTTTTTCAAAATGGCTTTGAATGATTAAATTACATCACTTGCGTTGTTGGATTTCATATTGGCATCATGGGCACCAGGTAACACAGCTGAAATGAGTTTCAGAACTCTTTCAGCAGGACATTTAACGCTTAGCCCAGAAGAGGACTTAGATGGAGCCAGTTCCACTGAGGAAGTGAATATTTGGGACAATAGAGGCAATATGTCATATACTTAAAGTAAAATCAATGGACAAGCCACACAGAGGCATCCAAAATGAGCGGGTGATAAAGGTGTGTGTCTCAGATCTGATTTTCTCAATTTGCTATGAATGCTCTTCTAATAATCCACATTGCCTATGACCATACATGAAGACTACATGCACGGAATCAATGCCTGGTAAGTAATTTGTCTTTCATTTAAAAGTCACATGGAAAACTCTCTAAGGTACTCTGGTGACACCAGTAGACACTTTCTATTTTCAGGTACAGCTGAACAAAATGATAAATCATTTCAAACAGCTAGGTTCTTGATTGGTCTTGCAGCAAGTCTGGAGTCTATGGCAAAGCAAAACTACACTGGAGCTACTTGTGCTACTGAGATTCTGGCAAATTTAGTTGAAAGTTTTGTTTCAAAGCACAACATTCTCTTTTCAGCTTAGAATTACATAGGGAAGAAACTTTCTTGATAAAAGAAACTGTATGCTACTTAACATGCAAATATTATGAGCCTCTTTTGAAATACAGATACTTGAACAAACGGATTCATAAGGCCAGTAAAGGTGGTTTTTTTTAGTATGGACATGGATGCCAGTTATCCTAGATAAACATTAAATATGAAGGTCACTCATTTATTTTTAAACTGTTATTTATTTTTTAAATGATTCCATTACACAAATGCAAACAAAGCACACCAGAAACAGAGTGCTCTGAGACGACTCCCCTGAGCACTGCCTGCGTGAACATAACAAGCCCAGAATATGCCTTATGGGCAGTGAACTCCAAATAATTTCAGCCTATCATCTCCTTGGAGAGGATGCTGCTGTATCTGGGTTC